ACAGTTGCCATTACTATACGTACACATCACCTTCACATCTAATCTCCACCGTGCTATGTGGGTCATCAGTGTCAGGCTATATGTGCTTGATAAGTGGGTTTGTGGTGTTCGTAGAGTGAGCACGCACAACTGATACAGTCAAGAAAGGTGACATTACATTTCCGAGTCATATGATACAATAGGCTCAATATATTGCGAGCTTTGGTACACAATACAAGGTATATAAATAGTGGTCGTCTTGTGAACCTATTTAAGGACAGATGGTAATATAAGCTTGATACAGCTGCTATTAGGACTACTCCAATGTATGTATACAATAGGAAGTGATATCACATTGCAAATAGATGTACTGGATGTAAAGCTGCTTTGAATTGTTGTACAGTTCCTGACAGCTTTAAGAGGCAGAATGACCCAATATGATGCCGATCAAAGACGTTCGCTGATTGGTATATTCTGCATCGCCAAAGGTGCAGAAAGTGCTGCAATGAAAGAAGCTGAAACTTCAAGATCTTTCCTTCAAACGTGAAAACATGCTTAGGGTTCATGTTTCAGACATTGCAAACATTTGGCAAAATGTGAAGAGAAATGTTCAAATGAATTTCAGGTGATTAGTAAATCCCGGAATATGTTTGTTTGTCTGTGTGTGGTTTAATACCGCATATTCCAGCTATCATCGAGTCTGGACCAGACAGACCAGTGATCAAAATCATGAGTATCGATCTACGCAATAAGAATACCATGATTGACATCCAATGATCGAGGGAAAAATACCAGCGCCTTGAGCATGTACTAGTTGCATGGATATGTGCGCTATATAAACATAATATAATAATAATGATAATAATGATCAGCCAAGTCAGTGAGCCCGACCACTCGATCCCGTTAGTCGACTCTTACGACAAGCATGGCTTCCCGAAAACCAATTCTAATCCGGATCTATTGCCGAGGATTAATTCTAATCACGGTTCCAGGAATATGAACTGGGCATAGCATGTGTAAAAAGCAAAATAGGTATGACGATGTATTCAGTTCACTTACACACTAAGAGGAAAACTGAATTCCCTGTAAAAAGAAATGTTTTTGAAATACCCGTTTTGTATTCACCCCAGAACCGTATGGTGCAAGTTTTAAAAATGTCATCACATATAATATCGGAGAAGGACATGGCCGTTATGTAGGCCGTACATGCATATGTTATCACCCAACAATGTTACAGATAACTGAAGGTTGTGCTGCGTTCTTTCAGTAAGACTCATCCAGTCGATGTAGAAAGGTTTTATGGTGATAATCTCGCCACTCTACAAAGTATACGCCAGCTACATACACGCAACGAGTGAGTATAAAACAAACCCTCAATCAACCCTTAAAACAAAAAGGCCAGGGTTCCTCATCCACACGTTAAATCCTCATTTTATCATTTTAGTTTAACTTCTTAAATGTTCGTTTTCGTGAAGTTAGGACGTTTGCGTACGTTTATCACACTCTGTTATATTCAAGTGAGTGAGTTCAGTTTTACGCCGATTTTAGCAATATTCCACCAATATCACGGCGGGGGACACCTGAAATGGGCTTCACACAGTGTACCCATGTAGGGAATCGAACCCGGGTCTTCGGCGTGACGAGCGAACGCTTTTACCACTAGGCTACCCCACCGCCCCCTATAATATTCAAGCTGTAAGACGGTTCTAATTAATCACTAATGCACCGTACATACCAGTGGTTCATAGCAAGAGCAATGTCTCTCGCCGTCCGCCAATAATCAACCAGTTACCCGAACAGCGGTTGTATGAACATAGTCTAAACTTGATTGTTGCGTATGTGAAACCTATGTGTCCATTTCGTATGTGAGGGTTATGAGTTTAGTAATCCTTGCAGTTGGTTTCATCGTATTTGTAGAAGACAACATTTCAGCAATATCACGGCTAGGGACACTACACACTGTACCAATGTGGGGAATGGAACCCGGAATCAAAACGCTTTAACCACTAGGTTACCCCAACACCAAAGATAACGGGAAGCAATACGGGTGTCAATGCAGATTAATATATAAATATATGTAGCAAACTAGTACATGGTTATTCACTGCGGTTTATGGACACGAACCTGTCAAAGGAATAAATCATTCTTAAAGATGTAAGTTTTCTTTATTGTAGGCTTATATAAATCACTTATGCAATGGTATTGCACAAAGCAAAAAGAACACGAAACAACCCAAGTCAAAACATTGATTACACAACAGTCTGGTTTCCTTTTGACTGGGTTCCGTCCTATTGCGCAACTTAGTACAATAACCAGTCCAGAATTTTGAGACCAATTCATTTAACTGGATACATATATTAATCAGTATTATTTGATACATCTAAGTACTTGTATATGTTGCAGCGCTACTGCTTCTAATCCTCGAAAAGAGGCTCGGCCGCTAGAAAAGTTTGGCGGTCTGGTACGAAATTGATATTAAATCAATCATATTGCGCGTTACAGAACTATTCTGAATACGCGCCCAAAACCACATAACAGGTGTAACCAGTGAGCCAGATGCATTGTGAATCAATTTACGACCTCATCAAACAGGGACAGTCTGTGACGTCTTAGTTAAGGTCAAGCTGCCTACACCTCACCATAAAATATAAAAATACGATGTTATTAAAGTTTAAAATTAAAATTCATTTTTAAATACCATTTTCTTATGAAACAGGGAATTGGAATTCAGTGTAACCATAGTTGTTTGTGATGTCTAATTTCTCTTTCACACGAGAAAATTCGGATCGGCTGAAAAGTGGGTCATTGTCTGAATAGGTTAATGAGACTCATGTTTCGGTTTGACTCATTTTGCATTTCATATGTTATGTATTTTATTATGATGTACCCATTGTTGTTAGTTTAGGAATTAAAGAAACCATGACGTCTGAATCTGCGGACGATAGGGACGACACAACGATACAAGGCAAAGAAACCAGGAACTGCTTGATTTTGGCTTCAACTTTCCTGGCGGCATTCACAGCATTCCATGCCCTTCAGGATCTTCAAAGCAGCCTCAACGAAAAGCATGACCTTGGAGTCTTCTCCCTTAGTGCAGTGTATGGTGCGTTTGTGTTCTCAGGTATGTTGGCACCAACTGTAATACGGTATTTTGGCGTCAAGAAATGTATTATTCTATCCTGGGTGTGTCACCTCATCTACACCGTTTCCAACTTCTACCCAACTTTCTACACCCTGATTCCAGCGTCACTTCTTCTTGGAGGGATCTCTGGCTTCTTATGGACCAGCCAGAGCACGTACATCACTGTGTGTTCTTATTCTCTGGCCAAAAGGACGTCCCAAGAAACCTACGTTGCTCTCAGTAAATTAACTGGTCTGTTCTACGCAATTTTTCAAACCACACAGATTCCGGGAAATTTGGTGTCATCGTTGGTCCTGAAACAAGGAGCGTATGACAATGTGACAACACAGGCTGTCTGTGGAGCTGCCTATTGTCCATTGTCCACAAATGGAACTACTATTCTTACTCCGGATGAGGGAGTGGTTCATATAATGCTTGGCGTTTTCGTGGCATGTGATATTCTAGCTCTTGTCATCACCATATGTTTTCTCTCACCTTTACCAAAGAGTGCCTGGATTGCGGAAGCCAGTTTGAAAGACTCGCTGTCTTCCTTCTTTGTGACTGTGTTCACCACGAAGTTCATCTTTCTTGTTCCTATGCTGCTGTACATTGCTGTTGTGGGGTCCGTCTTCTTTGGAGATTACACAAGGGTGAGTAGGTCAATATTTGCCCATTATGAAGGAATAATTCCTATGTTAAACCACCCGTGAAGATCTGAGTTAGAACTGATCTTCAGAAACCCAAGATTGTCGTAAGAGGCGACTGACGCAATTTATACGTAGATCGATACCAGTGATGCTGATTTAGTCTAGTCTAGACTCGATTATTTACAGACATATAGCTGGAATGTTGTTGAATGTGGCGTTAAACAACAATCAATCAATCAATCAACATTATTTACCTGGTTTCATCAGTCACGATAGGGTCACCAGTAGGTCAAGTGGATAGAACATCTGCTTTCTGATCAGAAGGTCCTTGGTTCTACAGTTATCAAAGCAAATTTGGCATTCTTTAACTTCATTTGATTGGTAAATACTTTCCACATAGGTGACCTACCACACTTATTATCCCAGAATAAGTATATAAGGAAATTCATTTAAATGGAGTGAATTTAGATCTTTCGGTGCATAGCCATCTAACGATAGATCTACAATTATCTGATGCAGCAGGTATATATCTTTATAATCAATGATACGTTAATTCATATTTTATTTGTTTTAATGTCTTGGCGTAGAGTTCAAATGTATACAAGCGTCACAAACGTATAGGCTTGACTACCCTCAGAAATAAGCTTAAGCGTGAAATACATATGAATGGAGCCCCAAAAAAAGAAAAAAAAAATCACTGTGATCGCGAAATGATTAAACATGTCAGCAGATTACAGAATCCTCTATCAGAGGCCTACAGCAAAGGAAAATTGAGCGCAGCTTAAGCATTTTGTTTCTTTTACTTAAACTTATGTAATCAAGAAATTATAGAAAATCTGTTACAGAAATAAAATCATATCTTGTTATGGTTGACATATAATTTCACTAGAATTTAGCATAATCTTGAAATGCTCGTTCAGAGCGGCAAGTGAATTACTTGTTCAGATCTAGAGAAACGAAATTTCACCAACATATTCCATGTCAATTTTCATTGCATTGTTTTCTTCAGCCAATGCTAACTGTACCATCCAGATAAACAGAATTTCACTGTAACATATTACGTGTAAATTAATGCTTTATTTCTTCAGCCAGCAGTAACTGTACTATCCAGATTAACGGAAAGTCACTGTAATTGATTAAATGTCAATTATAACATTGTTTTCTTCAGTCGTACATCAGCTGCCCCATTGGGATCCACATGGTCGGGTTTGTCATGGCGGCCTACGGGGCGGCAATTTCATTTGGAACCTTCGTGTCAAGTCGAGTAGCTAAGTACACTGGACGCCATGTGTTATTTGCGACGGCGGCGCTGATACATGCTGCTGTCTTTACTACACTTTACCTCTGGACGCCAAACGAGACGGATACAAAATATATAATCATGTTGCCTGTTGGCTGGGCAATAGCTGATAGTATTTTCCTGCCACAGATAATATGTAAGTACATGTATTCAGTTTACAACCACCTGAATATGGACAATACTAAGAAATGATAATCAATTTAACAGTCTTCCTGATTTTTAGTTATTTTCGTTCTGAAAGATGAAAGGGAATCCTATTGATTAAAACATAATTGTAGATATACTGTGAATATATTTATAAGAAGTACGTGCAATAACAGGATTAAAATAAACACTGCGATCACATGATATCAGGCCTTTTGTTGTTGGAGCTGTGTGATGAATTACAAAACAAACATCACCAGGTGTGGTCGCGGTCAAGTAAGTGGGACACTAAAGTGTGTATTTGGTAACTGAAATTCTCTGTGCGGATCCGGAAGGGCTATCCGATAAATAAGGCATCTTATATAGTGTATATGTTGTCACCGGTACATATTATATATGACCGCGGCCATATAGCTGGAATATTGTACGTTAGGGCAGGTGTCTTGATAAGCGGGTTTCCACTGTATTGCACCATTTCTATTTTCAGCATTGGTTGCTCTGTACTTCCCAGAAAAGAAGGAACCGGCATTTGCTAACGTCCACACTTGGATATCCCTTGGTTCGACGTTAACGTTCGCTCTGAGCAGCATCTTATGTGTATATGTCAAACTGTACACCATGTTTGCCCTGTTGGTGACCGGTATTGGGATGTATATAGTGGCAGAGATACTTTACAAAATGGAAACAAAGAAATACATGAGAATAAACGAATAAAATGGATGAATAGTATACTCATATTAACAGGGAAAATTCATGGATGTTATCTTCTTTGATATCTTCATCACTTGTTGAATGAGTAAGAAAGAATACACTTGTAATCGTTGTTTTCCTCAAAATACAGTTTTGCCAACCATACATTAAGTGATGACGGACTAATAATGTACCTGGAAACGTTGGTCGTCCGCAAAAGACAGTTTTTGCCAACCACAAATCACCCGATGGAGGAGTAACAATATACTCTGAAATGATGTGTTCCTTATAGTACAGAGGTTGACATCCATGCATCTTCCCTTTCATGTGAATCACTTCCAAATTCCATTCGACGGTGTGTATTATTTTGTTACAGAAAAATATCGTTGTACGTCGTAAGCTGATGTCTTAAGTATAGAGGGACGGTGGGGTAGCCTAATGGTTAAAGCGTTGGCTCGTCACGCCGAAGACCCGGGTTCGATTCCCCACGTGGGTACTATGTGTGAAGCCCATTTAAGGTGTCCCCCGCCGTGATGTTGCTGGAGTAATGCTAAAAGAGGCGTAAAACCAAACTCACTCAGTCAGTCAGTCTTAAGTATAGAGATATACTGACGGGACATTGATATTTTACGGGCGCTTCTCTTGTTCTCTTTGGGTACGTGGAAAGTGTTTTCGGTGTAAATATACTCTTTAAAACCGGAGGAGAACTTCATGTTTAATACACGTTTAAAAGATTGGGAGATACATCGGATGTTGTAGATATGATAATAATGAATGTTTTGAGAGTACATCACCACTTGCACGTCCTTATGACCATAGTTGTTTGTCCATTTTTGTAGCCAAAGGACAATAATTAGGCCCACAAACAGCTTCTTTAGTGGCATTTATGATAAAAATGGGATTCATTGTGAATAAACATGTCATATCAGTTATATAATAACTGTATTTTAACTCCTAACCGGATGGCAACTGGAGCAAAGATTCCAGAAAAGAAAATACATGCGCATTGTACTGAGTGAAATCGTTCCCAGTCCAGCTTGCTGATTAAGACTGCTCTGTTGATTCTTAATTGCAAAATATGCCGTGAACGCTGCAAAGAAGGATGCTGAAAGAACTTCTTCTCTTTGAAGGAAAGCTTCGGTGGTTCATATTCCTGAATCATATTGAGCGTTGTTTCAGGAACGTTCGACAAAACTCAAGGTTATTGTCAAACAGAATTTAGCAGGTTAGCATCTCCGGACATTACACATTAAGCGACAATAATATAAGCTTGATACAGTCGTTATTAGCATTATTTCACTGAATGTTTACAATACGTAGTGATATCACATTGTAAATAATTGTACTGGATGTAAAGATGCTTTGAATTGTTGTACATTTTTTTCACTTCATGTCAGCTTTAAGTTGGAGAAAAACCAATGTGATACCGGTCAAAGATGTTCACTGCTTGGTACATTCTGCATCAGCAAAGGTGCAGAAAGGTCAAATGTATGTATACGAATGGTAAAGATGTCACACTGTAGATAAATACATTAAATATAGAGCTGCTGGGTGTTTCTTTGAGTGGCATTTAGAAGCTGGAATAATGAACAGGAACGGTCTTTATGGATAGAAAACTCTTTTTTTTTGTAAATGGATGCGACGTTTCAGTGAAGATGCCAACATTAGTGATACACAACGTTATGTACATGGAGAATATGCCATGAATTGTTGTACAGTTTTATCACTTCATGTCAGCTTTATGTGGGAGAATAAAATGATGGTCAAAGACATTTGCTGTTTCTTGGATTCTGTATGGCCAAAGGAGCAGGTAGTGCTGCAATAAAAGAAGCTGAAAGAACTCCAAGACATCTTTCCTTCACACGTGACAACATAAGTGGTTCCTCTTTAGTATTTGTTCAAATGAATGTAAACTGATTTTCCAGGAATATATTTGTTTTGTTTGTTTGTAGTTCAACGCCGTACACAGCAACATCACAGTTATAAGGCAGATGTCTGTAAATAATTGATTCTGGACCAGACAATCCAGTGATCAAAATCATGAGCAATGATCTATGAGCATCAATAGGGATACGATGACATTTATTAACCAAGTCAGCGAGCATGATCACCCTATTCCGTTTGTCGCCTCTTACGGCAAGCATGGATTGCTGAAGACCAATTCTTAACGAATCTCCACGGATCCACGTTTTCATAATTCTCCCTAAAAAATGTCCATGTTGTGTGACGGGCACAATTGCTGTGACGATGTATCCAGTTCACTTCTATACTCTGAAGTTTCCTGCTATTCCCAGAATTAGAAAGCGAGATATGGTTTTGAAAACATAATTTTGCATTCACTCCGGGGGCGTAACGTGCCTGTTGTAGATGACATCACACATACTATCTGACAAGGACTTGGCCGTTATGTAGGCCGTACATATGTTATCAGGCAACAATGTTACAGATAACTAAAGGCGGTGCTGCATTTTATCAGCAAGATTCGTCCAATCGATTTTAAGTTGATAATCACGCCGTATCTACAAGAGAATACGCCAGGTACAACAACACGTGAGTACAATACAAACTCTAAATCAACACTCACAACAAAAATGCCAGTAGCGTAATGATTAGTCATCTGCACGTTAAATCCTCTACTTATCCTATATCTTTACATTTTCAAATGTTCGTTTTCATGTTGTATGGTCATTTGTTAACCCTACACTCGGTAATATTGAAGCTTACACGATGGCGCTGATTAGTCAATTACGTATCACACATTCCAGTTGTTTATATTCAAGATCAATATCTTACGCCGTCTGCCAACAATCAACCAATTCACCGAACAGTGGTTGTTGGCACCTATTCTAAACCTGAATCAAGCTTGATTTTGGTGTATGAGAAACGAATTTGTCCATTTTGTAAGTGGTTGCAAGCTTACTAAGCTTTGCAGTTGATTTCATCTTATGCAGATGACGGTAAACAACGTGGGTGTCAATGCAGATTGAGACATAAATATGTTTAGCAAACTCTTACACGGGTATTTACTTCGGTTCCCACTATTGTGTAGACGTCCTGAGAGATGAATACGGTATTGTTTCATCGTTAAAATAATTTATTATCATTCTTATAGATTTAAATAGCCAATTTAGGTTCAGTTACGCAAAGGCATTGCAGTCACAAAGAAAAGAGAAAGAAAATAGAATGAAAACGCCAACATGACTCATCAAATTTGCATTTCATGGACTGTTTGTTATCATAATGTACTCATTGTTGTTAATTTAGGGAAGAAAAAATATCATGACATATGAGTGTGAGGAAGACAGGGACGACAAAACGATACAAGGCAAAGAAACCAGGAACTGCTTGATTTTGGCTTCAACTTTCCTGGCGGCATTGCACAGCGTTCAATGCCCTTCAGGACCTTCAAAGCAGCCTCAACGAGAAGCATGACCTTGGTGTTTTCTCAATGAGTGCAGTGTATGGTGTGCGTTTGTGTTCTCAGGTATGTTGGCACCAACTGTAATACGGTATTTTGGCGTCAAGAAATGTATTATTCTATCCTGGGTGTGTCACCTCATCTACACCGTTTCCAACTTCTACCCAACTTTCTACACCCTGATTCCAGCGTCGCTTCTTCTTGGAGGGATCTCTGGCTTCTTATGGACCAGCCAGAGCACGTACATCACAGTGTGTTCTTATTCTCTGGCCGAAAGGACGTCTCAAGAAACCTACGTTGTTCTCAGTAAATTAACTGGTCTGTTCTACGCAATTTTTCAAGCCACACAGATTCCGGGAAATTTGGTATCATCGTTGGTCCTGAAACAAGGAACGTATGACAATGTGACAACACAGGCTGTCTGTGGAGCTGCCTATTGTCCATTGTCCACTAATGGAACTACTATTCTGACTCCGGATGAGGGAGTGGTTCATATAATGCTTGGCGTTTTCGTGGCATGTGATATACTAGCTCTTGTGATCACCATATGTTTTCTCTCACCTTTACCAAAGAGTGCCTGGATTTCGGAAGCCAGTTTGAAAGACTCGCTGTCTTCCTTCTTTGTGACTGTGTTCACCACGAAGTTCATCTTTCTTGTTCCTATGCTGCTGTACATTGCTGTTGTGGGGTCCGTCTTCTTTGGAGATTACACAAGGGTGAGTAGGTCAATATTTGCCCATTAAGAAGGAATAATTCCTATGTTAAACCACCCGTGAAGATCACGGTTAGAACTGATCTTCAGAAACCCAAGATTTTCGTAAGAGGTGAGGCGCTGCTGACGCGATTGATACGTAGATCGATACTAAAGATGTTGATCACTGGATTGTCTAATCCAGACTCGATTATTTAAAACAGCCACCATATAGCTGGAATGTTGTTGAATGTGGAGTTAAACAACAATCAATCAATCAATCAACATTATTTACCTGGTTTTAGCAGTCTTTATAGGGCCACCAATAGGTCAAGTGGACAGAACATCTGCTTTCTGATCAGAAGGTCCTTGGTTCTACAGTGAGCAAATTGGACATTCTTTAACTTCATTTGATTGGTAAATACTTTCCACATAGGTGACCTACCACACTTATTATCCCAGAATAAGTATATAAACAAATTCATTTAAATGGAGTGAATTTAGATCTTTCGGTGCATAGCCATCTAACGATAGATCTACAATTATCTGATGCAGCTGGTATATATCTTTATAACCAATGATACGTTAATTTATATTTTACTTGTTTTAATTCTTGGCGTAGAGTTCAAATGTATACAAGCGTCACAAAAGTATAGGCTACACCTCACTCAGAAAAAAAGCTTAAGCATGAAATGATTAAACATGTCAGCAGAGTACAGAATCCTCTATCAGAGGCCTACAGCAAAGAAATTGAGCGCAGCTTAAGCATTTTGTTTCTTTACTTACACTTATGTAATCAAGAAATCATAGACAATGTATTACAAAAATAAAATTATATCTTGTTATGGTTGACATTTAATTTCACCAGAATTTAGCATAATTTTAGAATGCTCGTTCAGAGCGGCAAGTGAATTACTTGTTCAGATCTAGAAAAACGACATTTCACCAACATATTCTATGTCAATTTTTTTCTTCAGCCAATGCTAAATGTCCCATCCAGATTACCACAATTTCACTGTAACATATTACATGTAAATTAATGCTTTATTTCTTCAGCCAGCAGTAACTGTACTATCCAGATTAACGGAAAGTCACTGTAATTGATTAAATGTCAATTATAACATTGTTTTCTTCAGTCGTACATCAGCTGCCCCATTGGGATCCACATGGTCGGGTTTGTCATGGCGGCCTACGGGGCGGCAATTTCATTTGGAACCTTCGTGTCAAGTCGAGTAGCTAAGTACACTGGACGCCATGTGTTATTTGCGACGGCGGCGCTGATACATGCTGCTGTCTTTACCACACTTTACCTCTGGACGCCAAACGAGACGGATACAAAATATATAATCATGTTGCCTGTTGGCTGGGCAATAGCTGATAGTATTTTCCTGCCGCAGTTAATATGTAAGTATTCAGTTTACAACCACCTGAATATGGACAATACTAAGAAATGATAATCAATTTAACAGTCTTCCTGATTTTTAGTTATTTTCGTTCTGAAAGATGAAAGGGAATCCTATTGATTAAAACATAATTGTAGATATACTGTGAATATATTTATAAGTACGTGCAATAACAGGATTAAAATAAACACTGCGATCAGATGATATCAGGCCTTTTGTTGTTGGAGCTGTGTGATGAATTACAAAACAAACATCGCCAGGTGTGGTCGCAGTCAAGTAAGTGGGACACTAAAGTGTGTATTTGGTAACTGAAATTCTCTGTGCGGATCCGGAAGGGCTATCCGATAAATAAGGCATCTTATATAGTGTATATGTTGTCACCGGTACATATTATATATGACCGCGGCCATATAGCTGGAATATTGTACGTTAGGGCAGGTGTCTTGATAAGCGGGTTTCCACTGTATTGCACCATTTCTATTTTCAGCATTGGTTGCTCTGTACTTCCCAGAAAGAAGGAACCGGCATTTGCTAACGTCCACACTTGGATATCCCTTGGTTCGACGTTAACGTTCGCTCTGAGCAGCATCTTATGTGTATATGTCAAACTGTACACCATGTTTGCCCTGTTGGTGACCGGTATTGGGATGTATATAGTGGCAGAGATACTTTACAAAATGGAAACAAAGAAATACATGAGAATAAACGAATAAAATGGATGAATAGTATACTCATATTAACAGGGAAAATTCATGGATGTTATCTTCTTTGATATCTTCATCACTTGTTGAATGAGTAAGAAAGAATACACTTGTAATCGTTGTTTTCCTCAAAATACAGTTTTGCCAACCATACATTAAGTGATGACGGACTAATAATGTACCTGGAAACGTTGGTCGTCCGCAAAAGACAGTTTTTGCCAACCACAAATCACCCGATGGAGGAGTAACAATATACTCTGAAATGATGTGTTCCTTATAGTACAGAGGTTGACATCCATGCATCTTCCCTTTCATGTGAATCACTTCCAAATTCCATTCGACGGTGTGTATTATTTTGTTACAGAAAAATATCGTTGTACGTCGTAAGCTGATGTCTTAAGTATAGAGGGACGGTGGGGGTAGCCTAATGGTTAAAGCGTTGGCTCGTCACGCCGAAGACCCGGGTTCGATTCCCCACGTGGGTACTATGTGTGAAGCCCATTTAAGGTGTCCCCCGCCGTGATGTTGCTGGAGTAATGCTAAAAGAGGCGTAAAACCAAACTCACTCAGTCAGTCAGTCTTAAGTATAGAGATATACTGACGGGACATTGATATTTTACGGGCGCTTCTCTTGTTCTCTTGGGTACGTGCAAAGTGTTTTCGGTGTAAATATACTCTTTAAAACCGGAGGAGAACTTCATGTTTAATACATGATTAAAAGATTGGGAGATACATCGGATGTTGTAGATATGATAATAATGAATGTTGTGAGAGTACATCACCACTTGCACGTCCTTATGAACATAGTTGTTTGTCCATTGTTGTAGCCAAAGGACAATAATTAGGTCCACAAACAGCTTCTTTAGTGGCATTTATGATAAAAACTGGATTCATTGTAAATAACATGACATATCAGTTATGTAATAACTATATTTTTTACTCCTAACCGGATGGCAACTGGAGCATACAGTTCAAGAAAAGAAAATACATGCGTATTGTACTGAGTGAAATCGCTCCCAGTCCAGCTTGCTGATTAAGGCTGCTCTGGGGATTCTTAATTGCAAAATATGCCGTGAACGCTGCAAAGAAGGATGTTGAAAGAACTTCTTCTCTTTGAAGAAAAGCTTCGGTGGTTCATGTTCCTGAATCATATTGAGCGTTGTTTCAGGAACGTTCGACAAAACTCAAGGTTATTGTCAAACATAATTCAGCAGGTTAGCATCTCCGGACATTACACATTAAGCGACCATAATATAAGCTTGATACAGTCGTTATTAGCATTATTTCAATGAATGTTTACAATACGTAGTGATATCACATTGTAAATAACTGTACTGGATGTAAAGATGCTTTGAATTGTTGTAAATATTTTTTCACTTCATGTCAACTTTACGTGGGAGAAAAACCAATGTGATGCCGGTCAAAGAAGTTCACTGCTTGATACATTCTGCATCAGCAAAGGTGCAGAAAGGTCAAATGTATGTATACGAATGGTAAAGATATCACACTGTAGATAAATACATTAAATACACAGCTGCTTGGTGTTTCTTTGAGTGGCATTTAGAAGCTGGAATAATGAACAGGAACGATATTTATGGAAAGAAAACTCTTTTTTTTTTGTAAATGGATGCGACGTTTCAGTGAAGATGCCAACATTAGTGATACACAACGTTATGTACATGGAGAATAGGCCATGAATTGTTGTACAGTTTTATCACTTCATGTCAGCTTTATGTGGGAGAATAAAATGATGGTCAAAGACATTTGCTGTTTCTTGGATTCTGTATGGCCAAAGGAGCAGGTAGTGCTGCAATAAAAGAAGCTGAAAGAACTCCAAGACATCTTTCCTTCACACGTGACAACATAAGTGGTTCCTCTTTAGTATTTGTTTTGTTTGTTTGTAGTTAAACGCCGTACACAGCAACATCACAGTTATAAGGCAGATGTCTGTAAATAATTGAGTCTGGACCAGACAATCCAGTGATCAAAATCATGAGCAATGATCTATGAGCATCAATAGGGATACGATGACATTTATTAACCAAGTCAGCGAGCATGATCACCCTATTCCGTTTGTCGCCTCTTACGGCAAGCATGGATTGCTGAAGACCAATTCTTAACGAATCTCCACGGATCCACGTTTTCATAATTCTCCCTAAAAAATGTCCATGTTGTGTGACGGGCACAATTGCTGTGACGATGTATCCAGTTCACTTCTATACTCTGAAGTTTCCTGCTATTCCCAGAATTAGAAAGCGAGATATGGTTTTGAAAACATAATTTTGCATTCACTCCGGGGGCGTAACGTGCCTGTTGTAGATGACATCACACATACTATCTGACAAGGACTTGGCCGTTATGTAGGCCGTACATATGTTATCAGGCAACAATGTTACAGATAACTAAAGGCGGTGCTGCATTTTATCAGCAAGATTCGTCCAATCGATTTTAAGTTGATAATCACGCCGTATCTACAAGAGAATACGCCAGGTACAACAACACGTGAGTACAATACAAACTCTAAATCAACACTCACAACAAAAATGCCAGTAGCGTAATGATTAGTCATCTGCACGTTAAATCCTCTACTTATCCTATATCTTTACATTTTCAAATGTTCGTTTTCATGTTGTATGGTCATTTGTTAACCCTACACTCGGTAATATTGAAGCTTACACACGATGGCGCTGATTAGTCAATTACGTATCATCACACATTCCACTTGTTTATATTCAAGATCAATATCTTACGCTGTCTGCCAACAATCAACCAATTCACCGAACAGTGGTTGTTGGCAACTATTCTAAACCTGAATCAAGCTTGATTTTGGTGTATGAGAAACGAATTTGTCCATTTTGTAAGTGGTTGCAAGCTTACTAAGCTTTGCAGTTGATTTCATCTTATGCAGATGACGGTAAACAACGTGGTTGTCAATGCAGATTGAGACATAAATATGTTTAGCAAACTCTTACACGGTATTTACTTCGGTTCCCACTATTGTGTAGACGTCCTGAGAGATGAATACGGTATTGTTTCATCATTAAAATAATTTATTATCATTCTTATAGATTTAAATAGCCAATTTAGGTTCACTTATGCAAAGGCATTGCAGTCACAAAGAAAAGAGAAAGAAAAAAGAATGAAAACGCCAACATGACTCATCAAATTTGCATTTCATGGACTGTTATCATAATGTACTCATTGTTGTTAATTTAGGAAGAAATATCATGACATATGAGTGTGAGGAAGACAGGGACGACACAACGATACAAGGCAAAGAAACCAGGAACTGCTTGATTTTGGCTTCAACTTTCCTGGCGGCATGCACAGCGTTCAATGCCCTTCAGAACCTTCAAAGCAGCCTCAACGAGAAGCATGACCTTGGTGTTTTGTCAATGAGTGCGGTGTATGGTGCGTTCGTGTTCTCAGGTATGTTGGCACCAACTGTAATACGGTATTTTGGCGTCAAGAAATGTATTATTCTATCCTGGGTGTGTCACCTCATCTACACCGTTTCCAACTTCTACCCAACTTTCTACACCCTGATTCCAGCGTCACTTCTTCTTGGAGGGATCTCTGGCTTCTTATGGACCAGCCAGAGCACGTACATCACAGTGTGTTCTTATTCTCTGGCCGAAAGGACGTCTCAAAAACCTACGTTGTTCTCAGTAAATTAACAGGTCTGTTCTACGCAATTTTTCAAGCCACACAGATTCCGGGAAATTTGGTATCATCGCTGGTCCTGACACAAGGAACGTATGGCAATGTGACAACACAGGCTGTCTGTGGAGCTGCCTATTGTCCATTGTCCACAAATGGAACTACCATTCTGACTCCGGATGAGGGAGTGGTTCATATAATGCTTGGCGTCTTTGTGGCATGTGATATACTAGCTCTTGTCATCACCGTGTGTTTTCTCTCACCCTTACCAAAGAGTGCCTGGATTTCGGAAGCCAGTTTGAAAGACTCGCTGTCTTCCTTCTTTGTGACTGTGTTTACTACGAAGTTCATCTTTCTTGTTCCTATGCTGCTGTACATCGCTGTGGCGGTATCATTCCTCTTTGGAGATTACACAAGGGTGAGTACAGTCATTATTTACCAATGAAGAAGAAATAACTCCCATGTCAAACCACCGTTGAAGATCACGGTTAGAAATGATCTTAAGCAACACATGCTTCTTGTAAGAGGTGACTAACGGGCTCGCTGACTTGGTTGACACGTAGATGCGTAGATCGATGCTAAAGATGTTGATCACTGGATTGTCTAATCCAGACTCAATTATTTAAAAACCGCCACCATATAGCTGGAATATTGTTGCGTGCGGCATTAATCAACAAACAAACAATCAATGAATATTATTTAATTGCTTTTATCAGTCATGATAGGACCCCATTAGGTCAAGTTGATAGAACCTCAGCCTGGAATTGGGAGTATCCGTGTTTCGTAAGTCATATCAGCAAACTGCCTATAACTTCATTTGAGTGGTAATTTTTTTCCATAGTGGTGATCTACTCCACGGGCGAAAGTGAAATACCGGACCATTCTCCCTCATAAGTATATCAGGCAAAATACATTAAAATGCACGACAGAGTGATTTTAGATCTTTCAGTTCATAGCCAACTAACAATAGATATACACTGATCTATTACAGCAGTCATATCTAAAAAATCATGTAATTTCATATTCTACTTTGAACTATCACGGCGTAAAATTCACATTATACATGCGTCAAAAAATAGATTGCCACGTCTGATAATATAAAAGCCAGTTCAAAAGAAAACAAACTATCCTCCGGAAATAGATGACATGTGAAAATATATGACTGGATCTCTAAAAATCAGCAATGACACCAGGTGTTCGCGAAAAGGGTAAACATGTCCCCAGTTTTTCGCATCCGAATCTTCCATTGGATGCCTACTACAAAACTCATTTCCGTTAATTTCAATTGCATATTATTATTGGCAAAATGTGCACAATATTTGCCACTTAAAGTGACAATGAAAACACATTTTAAATTGTTTTGGGGAAAATGACCCCAAAGCACTAGGTGTGTACTTTCTTTTGTACGTGAGTTTATGGTTTGTGCTGTCTTTGCCTTGGGATACTTTGTTGCATGGAAGTTAGCGCAGTATGGACCTTTTTCCTATCATAAACCACATTTAACAAAGAAATCACATAGAGTCTGTTACAGAAGTAGAATTATATTATGTTATGGTTGGCATATACGTTCTGTAGAATGTAGTATGCTGTTAAAAGGTCGTTCAGAGCCGCAAGTGAATTGCTTGTTCAGATACAAGTGAACTCAAAACAGCGTGACGTCATCGTAGTGGAGTAAGCTACAGCGAAACGCCGTTTATCTGGGAATGCCAAAGGATTCGACGCATATAGCTCCGTAACCATATTATAGTTATCCTGAAAGTGTTAATGGAATGCCGCTTTAATAGATTACTTGTATGTATGTTGTTAAGTCACTGGCAACTAGTCCATTCTGATAAATGGATTTTCACTGTAACATATATTACTAGTTCCAAAATGAAAATTGTGGATGGTTTCATTTTATTTCTAAATTAGAAAATTTAATAACAATGATTGTTTCCATGTACATTTTAATAGGTAGATATAACGATAATATGAAGACGACAGAACAGCATGTTTAATGTTCATGACATTAAGTTAAGAATCGAAATGTGGTAAAGTTTCTCGATATGCACATTATTATTAGGATGTGTTTTTGGCAATTAGAAGATCACATTGATTGACTTTTAGTTGTTGTGGGTCACAAAAGTTTAAAGTGCTGGGTATGGATTTGAACTCACACCTTGAACATGGGCTGTGTATTTTCACCTGTTAAGAGTGGACAGGGGAGTTTGCCTGGTTTGCTTCCGTCCGCTTGTGGAAACTGAGTAATTTCTAGATGGTTGTAGTGTGGCATGCTTTTTTGTTAGAATTCTCTAGAACTGTATAACAGGTATATAAGGGATGGTTTCCGAGATGCATGAGAGACTACTACTGCAAACTGTTTTGAGCGGTGTATATTCGGCCTTGTCGATAGAGCAAATCTCAGATTATGATCTTGTTAAAACGACCGTTCTAATAGCTTATGAGTTAGTGCCGGAAGCTTATCATCAGAAATACAGAAATGTTCATAAAAGGGAAAACGAGGCTTTTGTAGAGTTTGCCAGGGAGAGGGAAACTCACTGTGTCGCTTATGAGAGATAATTCTACCCCATGGCCCGGTCTTATTTTGATTGATACTGGAGCTCATCAATCTCTTCAATTTTGAAGGATATTTTGCCTATTTCTGATGAGTCTTCAGAAAACTCAGATGTTTTGCTTCAGGGTATAGGTGGTAATTCTTCTGCACCTCTCCATTTTGTGAATCTGACTTCAGATCTGATTTCTAGTGAGGTGAATATTGGTGTTCTTGACTCTCTCCTAGTTCTGGTTCGATTTGTTGATCAGTAATGATCTTATGGGGGCTAAAGTTGGTGCAGATCCTATTGTCACTGTTACTCTGGAGAGTTGAGTTAGTGCAGAAAAGTTGGAGTATGATTTTCCGGGCAGTAACTTGTTTGATGTTGAAAGGCATTTCTTCCAAGACATCTTTGACAATTGGTTCCATTTATAATTTGTCAGGTACCTTTATGGATCATTCTCTTTATGAGGTAGAGGCTGATGACTTATCTTCAAAGGGTCAAATAACTCTTCAAGTTTTCTTGATAAGTCTGATAGTTTGTCAGGTGTTGATCACATTCTTTCTGGAGAGCAGCTTATTACAGCACAGGGTGAGGATGTTGAGTTGCAGAAATTGGCTAGTAAGGCTGCTTCTTTTAAGGAGGTTAACAAGGTTCCAGTTTGTTATTACTTCAAGGATGGTCCTCTGATGAATAACTGTAGGTCGCTAGACGTTCCCATGGAGAATCAATATTAATTGTATCACCAAAATGTGGTACTAAAACTATTTGAAAATCATGTCCTTTCATTGGCACATGAAAGTCCCATGGCAGGTTATTTGCGTGTAAACAAAACTTGTGAGAAAATTGTGGCACATTTCGCTGAATTTTGCAAGACCGGTCATGCATGCCAAGTTGTGGGGAAAACCAAATCAGAAAATTCCTATACCGGCTTTTGAGGAATCTCTTCCGTAGAGTTATTATTGATTGTGTTGCTCCACTACCTAAGATTAAATCTGGTAATCAGTATCTTCTCACTATAATGTGTGCTTCTACCAGATTTCGTGAGGCAATTCCTCTTTGTAGGATTGTCGCTCCTGTGATTGCCAAGGCTTTGATTAAATTTTTCACTTTAGTTGCTTTGCCAGATGTTGTTCTGTCTGATCAGAGCTCTAATTTTATGTATAAGGTTTTTCAACACGCTATGTAACAGTTGGGCATTGAGCATGTTAAGTCTAGTGCCTATCACCTGGAGTCGCAGAGAGGTTTAGAGAGGTAATCAAACTTTGAAGATTATAAGCAAGAGTTATTGTTTTGAGACAGAGAAAGATTGGGATGCGGTGTGCATTTGTTGCTGTTTGCTATCAGGGAGTCACTTCAGGAAAGTTCAGGGTTTGGTCATAGTGTGCACTGGCCACTAAAAATCTAAAAGATCAATGGTTCAATCACAATCCTGAGATCAATCTTTTGGACTATGTTTCTACAGACAGAACATACTTTCAAAAGTATGTGAGTTGGCCAGACAAATTTTCATGTTTTTATTTTGCTGGTTTAAAGGGACACTTACACGCCTTTTTTCTCAGTAGTTTCTATACCGCAACAACATGCACCAAGACGTTGCATTTGCCCATACCGAAACCAATAATGCCACGAAACATAGAATCGCCAATGGTAACTGTCCTATCCAGATCAACGAAGTTTCACTAACATATAACATGCCAATTTTTATTGCATTGTTTTCTTCAGCCAATAGTAACGGATTTTCACTGTCACATATTACCTATCATTTGTTCTCGCATTATGTTCTTCTGCCAGTGCTAACTGTACTATCCAGATTAACGAAAATTAACTGTAATTGATTACGTCTCAATTATTGCATTGTTTCCTTCCATCACAGTCGTACATCAGCTGCCCCATTGGGATCCACATGGTCGGGTTTGTCATGGCGGCCTACGGGGCTGTAAATGCATTTGGAACCTTCGTGTCTAGTCGAGTAGCTAAGTACACTGGACGCCATGTGTTAATTGCGACGGCGGCGCTGATACATGCTGCTGTCTTTACTACACTATACCTCTGGACGCCAAACGAGACGGATACAAAATATATAATCCTGTTGCCTCTCGGCTGGGCAATTGCTGATAGTATTATCCTGCCACAGATAATATGTAAGTATTCAGTTTACAACCACCTGAATATAAACAATAATAAGAAATGATAATCAATTTAACAGTCTTACTGATTTTTAGTTATTTTCGTTCTGAAAGATGAAAGGGAAGCCTATTGATTAAAACATAATTGTAGATATACTGTGAATATATTTATAAGAAGTACGTGCAATAACAGTATTAAATAAACACTGCGATCACATGATATCAGGCCTTTTGTTGTTGGAACTGTGTGATGAATTACAAAACAAACATCGCCAGGTGTGGTCGCAGTCAAGTAAGTGGGACACTAAAGTGTGTATTTGGTAACTGAAATTCTCTGTGCGGATCCGGAAGGGCTATCCAATAAATAAGGCATCTTATACAGAGTATAAGTTGTCACCGGTACATATTATATATGACCGCGGCCATATAGCTGGAATATTGCTGTGTGTGGTGTTAAACAAACAAACAAACATATTGTCCGTCAGGCAAGGTGTCCGGATAAGCGGGTTTCCACTGTATTGCACCATTTCTTTTTTCAGCATTGGTTGCTCTGTATTTCCCAGAAAAGAAGGAACCGGCGTTTGCTAACGCCCACACATGGTTAGCCCTTGGCTCGACGTTAACGTTCGCTCTGAGCAGCATCTTATGTGTTTATGTCAAACTGTACACCATGTTCGCCCTGTTGGTGACCGGTATTGGGATGTATATAGTGGCAGAGATACTTTACAAAATGGAAACAAAGAAAAACATGAGAATAAACGAATAAAATGGATGAATAGTATACTCATATTAACAAAGTGTTTTTAGTGTAAATCATCCTCGATAATCTCCAGGGTATACGTTACGATCACTCTCCACTGTACCCTGGATGCATCCACGGCTTGACCCGATAATTTTATTACCTCCCTTTGCTGGCTTTTTATCCAATCAGGTGTCTACGCTGGGGAGTTGAGCGAACGGGTCACAGCTCACTTTCGCTTCTTAAAGTATCTAACCGTTTAAACTTAGCAACACAATTGATGAAGAGGTACTCTGAAAGAGGTAGAAGGAGTTCTTTCATATATTATTTTAAAGTTTTTGTCAATTTGTCTGTATGATTTCCCCAAAAATCTGAGTGGCACTGCGAACAAACCTTCGCGACGGCGTCCTCTATCTCTGTTGACACTGGCAAGCTCGGATGTAACGGCGGCTTAGCTGATTAGCTACTGTGAGAATGCGGAGCCAGCAAAGGGAGGTAATATAATTATCGGGCCAAGCCCCATCCAGGGTATAGTGGAGAGTGATCGTAAATTACCTTGGAGGTTGGGTGTAAATATACTCTTTAAGAAAGTAGGGGGACTTCATGTTTAATATACAATTGAACAAAATGGGCAAATGTGAATATTGACATGATTATAATGAATATTTTGAGAGTGCATCACCACTTTCAAATCCTTATGACCATAGTTGTTTGTACAGTAATCGCTCTTGAAAGATGATTGTGTATGACGTGAAATTTGGATGCATACGATTTTCAATTTCAAACCAAACCCAGGCTGGAAACAAACACTAACAACTGTGTGATGCAAGATGATTGTCAAAATTAATGGTCTACAGTGATTTATCGACCTTCTTGAAAACCGTCAAAATCATGAATGACACCCCGTGCACGTGTATAGGCTACAGCGTTGTGCACGTGCATCCAATGCATTGCGTTTAATGGTGGTGATAAAGAGAAATAGTGGTGCGTGTAACTACATGATGAAACATATATTTAACTGTATTACAAACACGTGTACTGTGAAACCTGGCTTCGGCCATAGTGAATAAATCTGTACAGATCCAGGTCAGAATTGGTCTTCCGCAACTCATGCTTCTAAGAGGCAACTAACAGGATCAGGTGGTCAGGCTCGTTGACTTGGTTGACACATGTCATCGTATCCAAATTGCGCAGATCGATGCTCATGCTGCTGATCACTGGATTGTTTGGTCCAGACTCGAATATTTACAGACCGTCGCCATTCAGCTTGAATATTGCTAAACAACAAACAAACATATGTTGATAATAATGAATAAATTATTCCATTTTTCTCCCGGCCTTCGTATTTTCAAACATCCTGTCTAATCTCATTTGTCAAAAACATAATATGTTTGAGATGGAATAGTCTTCAGGCTGCGATTTAGGATGTAACTCTTGTTCTCCGATAGGAGGAGCTGAAGAGTTGCATTTGGGCCCAAGACACGTTATATTGCAGACAATCTTGCGTGCCTAGTGACTGAGGTGAAAGTGTCACACTGGGCCAAAACAGCCAAATACCAACGTGCTGGGCAAAGGCGATATTTGTTAACCAAGACGGTTGCATCAGGCAGAGTACTGGCTAACGGAGTGTCACTTTAAGCCAAGTAAATATACTGAGTCAAAAAAGAAACTTCACATTCTTTCTTCAGGGCACTATAAACGAACAAGAGATGTCAAGATGGTTAAATTGTTATTATTTCATTGCTGAGATCTGTGTGATGTACTCGATACACTGACAGTGCCATAATCAGTTCCATTAGGCTACACCGCCGTTCCAAAACATGGGTATACAGAATGTCAAGTCACAAGAATAAAAATGCGAAATTTCTCAGTTCAATATCGTGTATGGCCGCCCCGCGCATTCACCACTGCCAAACACCGTCTCCTCATCGACTGCCTGATGCTTGTGAACACATGGTTGGGGATTCTGCGCCTTTGCTCTTGCAAGGCAGCGACAAGTTCCTGCAAATTCTGAGGTTGGTTCCTAAGACCACGAAGCCTTCTCCCAAGTGCATCCCAAACGTGCTCTATTGGATTAAGGTCAGGGGACCTCGATGGCCAGTCCATGACGTTGATTCTAGCGTTTTGAAGGAAATTTCGTGTCAACATCGCGGTATGCGGCCGAGCATTATCATGCTGGAAGTGTAGACCTGGGCCATGAGCCGCCATGAAAGGAACGAGTTCAGGGGTGAGCACCTGGTCGCGGTAAGCAGCAGCTGTGAGGTTTCCACGGATGACCAGAAGTCGGGAACGGTTGTTCCCACAGAAAGCACCCCACACCATGCAACTTCCGGCCCCGAATCTGTCGACTTCCTGTACACAACATTTGGCATACCGTTCACGACGTCGTCTCCAGACTCTATGTCTGCCGTCCGCGAATCTGAGGGTAAACCTGGATTCATCGCTAAAGACGACTCGATTCCAGTTTCTCTGGATCCATCGGAGGTGACGTTGGGCCCACAGCAGACGTTGACGTTGATGAAACGGCGTCAATATTGCCCCACGATATGGACGTCGAGAATGGAGAGCCCGCAACCGATTTCGAATGGTCTGTGAGGACAGTCGACCTCTAAACATCTCAGCCCTGGTTCGTGTAGCCGGCAGAAATCTGTCACGTAGGTGACGTAGGACAATTTGACGGTCTTCTGCTCGTGACGTCACACGTGGACGACCCGACCTTGGGCGATCAGAAGTGGTGCCAGTTTGTTGTAGACGACCTCGCAAGTCATACACAGTACGACGGCTGCATCCCATTGCTCTTGCGACGTCAATAACTGATCTTCCCGCTTGCAACATGCCAACGGCACGTTCACGTTGCACATTTGACAATCGTGGCATTTCAAGTACCGTTAGAACTGTGGTTTAAAAGTGTTTTTTCAATTCTTGAGGCCAATGCAAACACGTGATCGACTGCACGTGCAAAACCTGATTTGGCACTAACGTCATTTGCACGACGAACGGATGGGTTTGAGTGGGTTTTGCTAACGTTTTTCTAGAGTCGAAAGATAGGGATCCCATTTCGGATACATAGCTGTATCATCAGAGAAAAATTATTCATTATTTTTCAAATTACATTTTGTGAAGTTTCTTTTTTGACTCAGTATATATTACTTTGTATCTTATTCACACACGCACAGGGACAGGGAATCGGACACGTAGACAAAGGGAGTAAAATAATTATATATGAGATATAAGTTTCGAAAGCAGTTAGTCGGGGCTTTTTAGTAAAACTATGTAGTTAATACATATTACGAGGCAAGATGTTCATGAATAACCTATACCCAAACACCTTTTCATTTATTAGAAATTGTCATGCATCACAGAAAAAGTTGTTTAACAAACTATCATAATTATAAATATGATTGTTGATTGTTGGCGCGGAGGGGCGCACAGCAGCAACGGGAATAGACAGGTGCGGAGGGGAGCGTTTCAAAATCTATTCTGAATGATCCATGACTTCGTTATCAGTGGCATCAAAGTCAGAGCTGATGGAAATAACAATTGGTGCGACAGTTGCCTGTTGGAAACCATCACGAGACCAGTAACCTGCTTCAATTTCATTGACAACCTTAGTTACACAGTGTCGCCACATATCAACAGTGATTTGAACCAGCGGGTAGGTCACGTAATCTGAACGTGGCATTTGATCTTGTAACATTGCCTTTTAGAATACCCCATATCATCTCGACTGGATTAAGGTCACACTGCTATTGTGGAAGCCGCAATATTGCCATGTGCAGGACAGATTCTATTTTTAGGTCAGGTGTTACTTTACATCATAGTAATGTTTGATGAATTCCACCATGTTCATGATGCCCCAGGGGTTAATACCCAGCCAATCAGCATCCGTTCTATAGATAACAGAACAATACCGTATTACTCCCAAGTAGGACCCCTGACCTTCAGTTGCATAAAGTAACAATATTATCATATGAGAGGACTGCAATAAAAGGGTTAACACAAGAATGAGTGAGTGAGTATGGCGAGTATACCGCTTTTAGCAATAGTCCAGCAATATTAGGGCGGGGTCACCAGAAATGGGCTTCACTCTTTCTACCCATGTGGGGAATCGGCGTGAGGAGTGAACGCTTTAACCACATGGCTGTCCCACTTCCCTTCAATGCTGGTGTGGCGGTACCAGTATAATACGATTCCTCAAACCTCTTGTGCGTATTTAGGCTCACATTGGATCACATGTTTTGCGTATGGTACAGACATGATGTGAAGTACAAAGAACTCTGATCTTCACTTGTCAAGGAATGTTAATTCTGATCTTCACTGGTCCAGGAATGCGAACTCCGATCTTCACTGGTCCAGGAATGCGAACTCTGATCTTCACTGGTCCAGGAATGTTAACTCTGATCTTCACTTGTCCAGGAATGTTAACTCTGATCTTCACTGATCCATGAAATATGAATAGGGAAAAACACGTCTTGATAGTCCGCCGAAAAATATTCCATGTTGTATGATGAGCAAAATAACTATGAAGATGTTTTCAGTTCACTTACACACTAAGGTAAACTGGTTCCCTGAATTAGGAAACAATATCTGGCTTTGAAAATACTCAGTTTACATTCATTACGGAGCCGTAACCTGCCCGTTTTAAATGTCATGACATGTATTATCTGAGAAGGACATGGACGTTATGTAGGCCGTACATGTACATGCATATGCTATCAACACTGTTAGAGGTAACTGAAGGCTGTGCTGCGTCCTTTCGATAAGACTAATACAATCGATGCAGAAAGGTTTATAATCGCGCCACTCTATAAGGTATACACCAGCTGCATGAACGCAACCAGTGAGTATAAAACAAACCCTAAATCAACCCTTAAAACGAAAAGGCCAATATGGCAAGGGTTACTCATCCACGTTAGACGTTTTATGACTATGTAATTAAAACTCTGTAATGTTCAACTCCATCTAACTAATCACTTATGTATCAGCCATACCAGTGGTTGATATTGAGAGCAATGTCGTTTGCCGTCCGCCAACAATCAACCAGTTCACCGAGCAGCGGTTGTTGGAACGTATTCTAAACCCGATTCAGATTTGATTGTTGCGTATGAGAAACGAATGTGTCCATTTCGGGTTTAGTAAGCCTAGCACTTGATTTCATCTCAAATGGATGACGGTGAGTGAGTGAGTTTAGTTTTAAGCCTCTTTCAGTAACATTCAAGTAATATCACGGCGGGGGATACCAGAAATGGGCTTCAGACATTGTACCCATGTGGGGAATAGAACCTGGGTCTTAGCTTCGACGAGAGAATGATCTAACCACTAGGCTACCCCACCGCCCCAGTTGACGGAGAACATTGCGGGTGTCAATGCAGACTGACATAAACATATATGTAGCAAACAAGTACACGGGTATTTACTGCGGTTTCAGTTTGTTGTATAGACACGATCCTGACAAATGAATATGGTACTGTTTCCTCATTAAACAATTATCATTCTTATAAATTTAAATATCCTTTATTGTAGGTATATTCAAATGACATTTTGCAATCATTATGGCAGTGCAGCTTTGAAGCAAAAAGTAGACGAATCAAAACAACATTAGTAAAACATTTTGTTATTAAACTGTTTGTTATTATGATGAACTCATTGTTGTTAGTTAGGAATTAAAGAAACTATGACGTCTGAATGCGAGGAAGATAGGAACGACACAACGATACAAGGCAAAGAAACCAGGAACTGCTTGATTTTGGCTACGGCTTTTCTCTCGGCATTAACAGCGTTCAACGCCCTTCAGAACCTTCAAAGCAGCCTCAACGAGAAACATGACCTTGGTGTTTTCTCCATCAGTGCAGTGTATGGTGCGTTCGTGTTCTCAGGTATGTTGGCACCGACTGTTATACGGTATTTTGGCGTCAAGAAATGTATTATTCTATCCTGGGTGTGTCACCTCATCTACACCGTTTCCAACTTCTACCCAACTTTCTACACCCTGATTCCAGCGTCACTTCTTCTTGGAGGGATCTCTGGCTTCTTATGGACCAGCCAGAGCACGTACATCACTGTGTGTTCTTATTCTCTGGCCAAAAGGACGTCTCAAGAAACCTACGTCGTTCTCAGTAAATTAAATGGTCTGTTCTACGCAATTTTTCAAGCCACACAGATTCCGGGAAATTTGTTGTCATCGTTGGTCCTGACACAAGGAACGTATGGCAATGTGACAACACAGGCTGTCTGTGGAGCTGGCTATTGTCCATTGTCCACTAACGGAACTACCATTCTGACTCCGGATGAGAGAGTGGTTCATATAATGCTTGGCGTTTTTGTGGCATGTGATATACTAGCTCTTGTCATCACCGTATGTTTTCTCTCACCCTTACCAAAGAGTGCCTGGATTTCGGAAGCCAGTTTGAAAGACTCGCTGTCTTCCTTCTTTGTGACTGTGTTTACTACGAAATTCATCTTTCTTGTTCCTATGCTGCTGTACATCGCTGTGGCGGTATCATTCCTCTTTGGAGATTACACAAGGGTGAGTACAGTCATTATTTTCCAATGGAGAAGAAATAACTCCCATGTCAAACCACCGTTGAAGATCACGGTTAGAAATGATCTTAAGCAGCACATGCTTCTTGTAAGAGGTGACTAACGGGCTCGCTGACTTAGTTGACACGTAGATGCGTAGATCGATGCTAAAGATGTTGATCACTGGATTGTCTAATCCAGACTCAATTATTTAAAAACCGCCACCATATAGCTGGAATATTGTTGCGTGCGGCATTAATCAACAAACAATCAATGAATATTATTAAATTGCTTTTATCAGTCATGATAGAACCCCATTAGGTCAAGTTGATAGAACCTCAGCCTGGAATTGGGAGTATCCGTGTTTCGTAAGTCATATCAGCAAACTGCCCATAACTTCATTTCAGTGGTAAATTTTTTCCATAGTGGTGATCTACTCCACGGGCGAAAGTGAAATACCGGACTATTCTCCCTCATAAGTATATCAGGCAAAATACATTAAAATGCACTACAGAGTGATTTTAGATCTTTTAGTTCATAGCCAACTAACAATAGATATACACTTATCTATTACAGCAGTCATATCTAAAAAATCATGTAATTTCATATTCTACTTTGAACTATCACGGCGTAAAATTCACATTATACATGCGTCAAAAAATAGATTGCCACGTCTGATAATATAAAAGCCAGTTCAAAAGAAAACAAACTATCCTCCGGAAATAGATGACATGTGAAAATATATGACTGGATCTCTAAAAATCAGCAATGACACCAGGTGTTCGCGAAAAGGGTAAACATGTCCCCAGTTTTTCGCATCCGAATCTTCCATTGGATGCCTATTACAAAACACATTTCCGTTAATTTCAATTGCATATTATTATTGGCAAAATGTACACAATATTTGCCACTTATAAGTGACAATGAAAACACATTTTAAATTGTTTTGGGGAAAATGACCCCAAAGCACTAGGTGTGTACTTTCTTTTGTACGTGAGTTTATGGTGTGTGCTGTCTTTGCCTTGGGATACTTTGTTGCATGGAAGTTAGCGCAGTATGGACCTTTTTCCTATCATAAACCACATTTAACAAAGAAATCACATAGAGTCTGTTACAGAAGTAGAATAACATTATGTTATGGTTGGCATATACGTTCTGTAGAATGTAGTATGCTGTTAAAAGGTCGTTCAGAGCCGCAAGTGAATTGCTTGTTCAGATACAAGTGAACTCAAAACAGCGTGACGTCATCGTAGTGGAGTAAGCTACAGCGAAACGCCGTTTATCTGGGAATGCCAAAGGATTCGACGCATATAGCTCCGTAACCATATTATAGTTATCCTGAAAGTGTTAATGGAATGCCGCTTTAATAGATTACTTGTATGTATGTTGTTAAGTCACTGGCAACTATTCCATTCTGATAAATGGATTTTCACTGTAACATATATTACTAGTTTCAAAATGAAAATTGTGGATGGTTTATTTTATTTCTAAATTAGAAAATGTAATATCAATGATTGTTTCCATGTAAATTTTAATAGGTAGATATTGCGATAATATGAAGACGACAGAACAGCATGTTTAATGTTGATGACATTAAGTTAAGAATCGAAATGTGGTAAAGTTTCTCGATATGCACATTATTATTAGGATGTGTTTTTGCCAATTAGAATATCACATTGATTGACTTTTAGTTGTTGTGGGTCACAAAAGTTTAAAGTGCTGGGTATGGATTTGAACTCACACCTTGAACTTGGGCTGTGTAGTTACACCTGTTGAGTGGACAGGGGAGTTTGCCTGGTTTGCTTCCGTCGGCTTGTGTGTATGGTTGTAGTTGGCATGCACCTGTATGTTAGGGAGAGTGGACTTTCGATTTACACTCATTTGTCTGGAGTTTTGCTCAACTGGTCCCATCTTTGAACTTCAACAGCTGTCAACAATTTTCAATAAGCATCTGTGGAAACTGAGTTAATTTCTAGATTTGTGACCCAATATTTTAGATTTGTGATCCAATAGGTATTATATAAATCATGCTGTTATTCACTTTTGTTTGAATACACAATTGAATAGAACTGTCTGTGTATTTATTTTGCTGGTTTAACAGGTAATTTCTAATATAAGGGATGGTTAGAATTCATTTGACATTTGACGATGATACAAATTTCTATATTTTTGCAAACAAGTTAGTTGAGACTACTACTGCAAACTGTTTTGATCAGATTTATCGGTGTATATTCGGCAAATATAAAACCCCCTTGTCGATAGAAGCATAGAAAAAGAAGACCTAAACAGGCTAGATTAAAATGATCTTGAAATTAGAAAAGAAAAAACGACCGTTCTAATAAATTTATGACAAAGAAATTAGTGCTCTTTTGGCAAAAGCTTATCATCAGATAAAATACATTTTGAAAATAGTGAAATGTTCATGTATATTCGGCCTTGTCGATAGGATGAAGTGCTGGAAGCTTATCATCAGAAATACAGGTTCATAAAAGGGAAAACGAGGCTCCTTGTAGAGTTTGCCAGGGGAGAGGAAACTCACTGTGTCGCTTACTATGAGAGATAATTCTACCCCATGGCCCGGTCTTATTTTGATTGATACTGGAGCTCATCAATCTCTTCAATTTTGAAGGATATTTTGCCTATTTCTGATGAGTCTTCAGAAAACTCAGATGTTTTGCTTCAGGGTATAGGTGGTAATTCTTCTGCACCTCTCCATTTTGTGAATCTGACTTCAGATCTGATTTCTAGTGAGGTGAATATTGGTGTTCTTGACTCTCTCCTAGTTCTGGTTCGATTTGTTGATCAGTAATGATCTTATGGGGGCTAAAGTTGGTGCAGATCCTATTGTCACTGTTACTCTGGAGAGTTGAGTTAGTGCAGAAAAGTTGGAGTATGATTTTCCGGGCAGAAACTTGTTTGATGTTGAAAGGCATTTCTTCCAAGACATCTTTGACAATTGGTTCCATTTATGATTTGTCAGGTACCTTTATGGATCATTCTCTTTATGAGGTAGAGGCTGATGACTTATCTTCAAAGGGTCAAATAACTCTTCAAGTTTTTTTGATAAGTCTGATAATTTGTCAGGTGTTGATCACATTCTTTCTAGAGAGCAGCTTATTACGGCACAGGGTGAGGATGTTGAGTTGCAGAAATTGGCTAGTAAGGCTGCTTCTTTTAAGGAGGTTAACAAGGTTCCAGTTTGTTATTACTTCAAGGATGGTCCTCTGATGAATAACTGTAGGTCGCTAGACGTTCCCATGGAGAATCAATATTAATTGTATCACCAAAATGTGGTACTAAAACTATTTGAAAATCATGTCCTTTCATTGGCACATGAAAGTCCCATGGCAGGTTATTTGCGTGTAAACAAAACTTGTGAGAAAATTGTGGCACATTTCGCTGAATTTTGCAAGACCGGTCATGCATGCCAAATTGTGGGGAAAACCAAATCAGAAAATTCCTATACCGGCTTTTGAGGAATCTCTTCCGTAGAGTTATTATTGATTGTGTTGCTCCACTACCTAAGATTAAATCTGGTAATCAGTATCTTCTCACTATAATGTGTGCTTCTACCAGATTTCGTGAGGCAATTCCTCTTTGTAGGATTGTCGCTCCTGTGATTGCCAAGGCTTTGATTAAATTTTTCACTTTAGTTGCTTTGCCAGATGTTGTTCTGTCTGATCAGAGCTCTAATTTTATGTATAAGGTTTTTCAACACGCTATGTAACAGTTGGGCATTGAGCATGTTAAGTCTAGTGCCTATCACCTGGAGTCGCAGAGAGGTTTAGAGAGGTAATCAAACTTTGAAGATTATAAGCAAGAGTTATTGTTTTGAGACAGAGAAAGATTGGGATGCGGTGTGCATTTGTTGCTGTTTGCTATCAGGGAGTCACTTCAGGAAAGTTCAGGGTTTGGTCATAGTGTGCACTGGCCACTAAAAATCTAAAAGATCAATGGTTCAATCACAATCCTGAGATCAATCTTTTGGACTATGTTTCTACAGACAGAACATACTTTCAAAAGTATGTGAGTTGGCCAGACAAATTTTCATGTTTTTATTTTGCTGGTTTAAAGGGACACTTACACGCCTTTTTTCTCAGTAGTTTCTATACCGCAACAACATGCACCAAGACGTTGCATTTGCCCATACCGAAACCAATAATGCCACGAAACATAGAATCGCCAATGGTAACTGTCCTATCCAGATCAACGAAGTTTCACTACCATATAACATGCCAATTTTTATTGCATTGTTTTCTTAAGCCAATAGTAACGGATTTTCACTGTCACATATTACCTATCATTTGTTCTCGCATTATGTTCTTCTGCCAGTGCTAACTGTACTATCCAGATTAACGAAAATTAACTGTAATTGATTACGTCTCAATTATTGCATTGTTTCCTTCCATCACAGTCGTACATCAGCTGCCCCATTGGGATCCACATGGTCGGGTTTGTCATGGCGGCCTACGGGGCTGTAAATGCATTTGGAACCTTCGTGTCAAGTCGAGTAGCTAAGTACACTGGACGCCATGTGTTAATTGCGACGGCGGCGCTGATACATGCTGCTGTCTTTACTACACTATACCTCTGGACGCCAAACGAGACGGATACAAAATATATAATCCTGTTGCCTCTTGGCTGGGCAATTGCTGATAGTATTTTCCTGCCACAGATAATATGTAAGTATTCAGTTTACAACCACCTGAATATAAACAATAATAAGAAATGATAATCAATTTAACAGTCTTACTGATTTTTAGTTATTTTCGTTCTGAAAGATGAAAGGGAGGCCTATTGATTAAAACATAATTGTAGATATACTGTGAATATATTTATAAGAAGTACGTGCAATAACAGTATTAAATAAACACTGCGATCACATGATATCAGGCCTTTTGTTGTTGGAACTGTGTGATGAATTACAAAACAAACATCGCCAGGTGTGGTCGCGGTCAAGTAAGTGGGACACTAAAGTGTGTATTTGGTAACTGAAATTCTCTGTGCGGATCCGGAAGGGCTATCCAATAAATAAGGCATCTTATACAGAGTATATGTTGTCACCGGTACATATTATATATGACCGCGGCCATATAGCTGGAATATTGCTGTGTGTGGTGTTAAACAAACAAACAAACATATTGTCCGTCAGGCAAGGTGTCCGGATAAGCGGGTTTCCACTGTATTGCACCATTTCTATTTTCAGCATTGGTTGCTCTGTATTTCCCAGAAAAGAAGGAACCGGCGTTTGCTAACGCCCACACATGGTTAGCCCTTGGCTCGACGTTGACGTTCGCTCTGAGCAGCATCTTATGTGTTTATGTCAAACTGTACACCATGTTCGCCCTGTTGGTGACCGGTATTGGGATGTATATAGTGGCAGAGATACTTTACAAAATGGAAACAAAGAAAAACACGAGAATAAACGAATAAAATGGATGAATAGTATACTCATATTAACAGGAAAAAGTCATGGATGTTATCTTCTTTTATATCTTCATCACTTGATGAAGGAGTAAGAAAGAATACACTTGTAATCGTTGTTTTCCTCAAAATACAGTTTTGCGAACCATGCATCACCTGATAAAGGAGTAAGAATATACCTGGAAACGTTGGTCGTCCTCAAAAGACGGTTTTTGTCAACCATAAATCACCCGATGGAGGAGTAACAATATACTCTGAAATGATGTGTTCCTTATAGTACAGAGGTTGCCATCCATGCATCTTCCCTTTCATGTGAATGACTTCCAAATTCCATTCGAAGGTGTATATTCATTTAGTTTCAGATAAATATTGTTGGATGTCTTAAAGTATAGAGATGTCCTGACGAGACTCTGACATTTTACGGGCGCTTCTTTTGTTCGCTGCAAAGTGTTTTTAGTGTAAATCATCCTCGATAATCTCCAGGGTATACGTTACGATCACTCTCCACTGTACCCTGGATGCATCCACGGCTTGACCCGATGATTTTATTACCCCCCTTTGCTGGCTTTTTATCCAATCAGATGTCTACGCTGGGAAGTTGAGCGAACGGGTCACAGCTCACTTTCGCTTCTTAAAGTATCTAACCGTTTAAACTTAGCAACACAATTGATGAAGAGGTACTCTGAAAGAGGTAGAAGGAGTTCTTTCATATATTATTTTAAAGTTTTTGTCAATTTGTCTGTATGATTTCCCCAAAAATCTGAGTGGCACTGCGAACAAACCTTCGCGACGGCGTCCGCTATCTCTGTTGACACTGGCAAGCTCGGATGTAACGGCGGCTTAGCTGATTAGCTACTGTGAGAATGCGGAGCCAGCAAAGGGAGGTAATATAATTATCGGGCCAAGCCGCATCCAGGGTATAGTGGAGAGTGATCGTAAATTACCTTGGAGATTATCGAGGATGGGTGTAAATATACTCTTTAAGAAAGTAGGGGGACTTCATGTTTAATATACAATTGAACAAAATGGGCCAATGTGAATGTTGACATGATTATAATGAATGTTTTGAGAGTGCATCACCACTTTCAAATCCTTATGACCATAGTTGTTTGTACAGTAATCGCTCTTGAAAGATGATTGTGTATGACGTGAAATTTGCATGTATACGATTTTCAATTTCAAACCAAACCCAGGCTGGAAACAAACACTAACAACTGTGTGATGCAAGATGATTGTCAAAATTAATGGTCTACAGTGATTTATCGACCTTCTTGAAAACCGTCAAAATCATGAATGACACCCCGTGCACGTGTATAGGCTACAGCGTTGTGCACGTGCATCCAATGCGTTGCGTTTAATGGTGGTGATAAAGAGAAATAGTGGTGCGTGTAACTACATGATGAAACATATATTTAACTGTATTACAAACACGTGTACTGTGAAACCTGGCTTCGGCCATAGTGAATAAATCTGTTAAGATCCAGGTCAGAATTGGTCTTCCGCAACTCATGCTTCTAAGAGGCAACTAACAGGATCAGGTGGTCAGGTTCGTTGACTTGGTTGACACATATCATCGTATCCAAATTGCGCAGATCGATGCTCATGCTGCTGATCACTGGATTGTTTGGTCCAGACTCGAATATTTACAGACCGTCGCCATTCAGCTTGAATATTGCTAAACAACAAACAAGCATATATTGATAATAATGAATAAATTATACCATTTTTCTCCCGGCCTTCGTATTTTCAAACATCCCGTCTAATCTCATTTGTCAAAAACATAATATGTTTGAGATGGAATAGTCTTCAGGCTGCGCTTTAAGATGTAACTCTTGTTCTCCGATAGGAGGAGCCGAAGAGTTGCATTTGGGCCCAAGACACGTTATTTTGCAGACCATCTTGCGTGCCTTGTGACTGAGGTGAAAGTGTCACACTGGGCTAAAATAGCCAAACACCACCGTGCTGGGCAAAGGCGATATTTGTTAACCAAGACGGTTGCATCAGGCAGAGTACTGGCTAACGGAGTGTCACTTTAAGCCAAGTAAATATATTACTTTGTATCTTATTCACACACGCACAGGGACAGAGAAACGGACACGTAGACAAAGGGAGTAAATTAATTATATATGAGATATAAGTTTTGAAAGCAGTTTGTCGGGGCTTTTTAGTAAAACTATGTAGTTAATAAATATTACGAGGCAAGATGTTCATGAATAACCTATACCCAAACACCTTTTCATTTATTAGAAATTGTCATGCATCACAGAAAAAGTTGTTTAACAAACTATCATAATTATAAATATGATTGTTGATTGTTGGCGCGGAGGGGCGCACAGCAGCAACGGGAATAGACAGGTGCGGAGGGGAGCGTCTCAAAATCTATTCTGAATGATCCATGACTTCGTTATCAGTGGCATCAAAGTCAGAGCTGATGGAAATAACAATCAGTGCGACATTTGCCTGTTGGAGACCATCACGAGACCAGTAACCTGCTTCAATTTCATTGACAACCTTAGTTACACAGTGTTGCCACATGTCAACAGTGATTTGAACCAGCGAGTCGGTCACCAAGGCCTCAACGCCACGTAATCTGAACGTGGCATTTGATCTTGTAACGTCGCCTTTTAGAATACCCCATATCATCTCGACTGGATTAAGGTCACACTGATATTGTGGAAGCCGCAATATTGCCATGTGCAGGACAGATTCTATTTTTAGGTCAGGTGTTACTTTACATCATATTAATGTTTGATGAATTCCACCATGTTCATGATGCCCCATGGGTTAATACCCAACCAATCAGCATCCGTTCTATAGATAACAGGACAATACCATATTACTCCCAAGTAGGACCCCTGACCTTCAGGGGAATAAAGTAACAATATTATCATATGAGAGGACTGCAATAAAAGGGTTAACACAAGAATGAGTGAGTGAGTATGGCGAGTATACCGCTTTTAGCAATAGTCCAGCAATATTAGGGCGTGGTCACCAGAAATGGGCTTCACTCTTTCTACCCATGTGGGGAATCGGCGTGAGGAGTGAACGCTTTAACCACATGGCTGTCCCACTTCCCTTCAATGCTGGTGTGGCAGTACCAGCATAATACGATTCCTCAAACCTCTTGTGCTTATTTAGACTCAGAGATTGGATCACATGTTTTGCGTATGGTACAGACATGATGTGAAGTACAAAGAACTCCGATCTTCACTGGTCCAGGAATGTTAACTCCGATCTTCACTGGCCCAGGAATGTTAACTCTGATCTTCACTGGTCCAGGAATGTTAACTCCGATCTTCACTGGTCCAGGAATGTTAACTCCGATCTTCACTGGTCCAGGAATGTTAACTCCGATCTTCACTTGTCCAGGAATGTTAACTCCGATCTTCACTGGTCCAGGAATGTTAACTCTGATCTTCACTTGTCCAGGAATGTTAACTCTGATCTTCACTTGTCCATAAATGTTAACTCTGAACTTCACTTGTCAAGGAATGTCAACTCCGATATTCACTGGTCCAGGAATGTCAACTCTGATCTTCACTTGTCAAGGAATGTTAACTCTGATCTTCACTTGTCAAGGAATGTTAACTCTGATCTTCACTGGTCCAGGAATGTTAACTCTGATCTTCACTTGTCAAGGAATGTTAACTCTGATCTTCACTGGTCCAGGAATGTTAACTCTGATCTTCACTTGTCAAGGAATGTTAACTCCGATCTTCACTGGTCCAGGGATGTTAACTCTGATCTTCACTTGTCAAGGAATGTTAACTCTGATCTTCACTGATCCATGAATATGAATCGGGAAAAACACGTCTTGATAGTCCGCCGAAAAATATTCCATGTTGTATGATGAGCAAAATAACTATGAAGATGTATTCAGTTCACTTACACACTAAGGTAAACTGGTATTCCCTGAATTAGGAAACAATATCTGGCTTTGAAAATACTCAGTTTACATTCATTACGGAGCCGTAACCTGCCCGTTTTAAATGTCATGACATGTATTATCTGAGAAGGACATGGACGTTATGTAGGCCGTACATGTACATGCATATGCTATCAACACTGTTAGAGGTAACTGAAGGCTGTGCTGCGTCCTTTCGATAAGACTAATACAATCGATGCAGAAAGGTTTATAATCGCGCCACTCTATAAGGTATACACCAGCTGCATGAACGCAACCAGTGAGTATAAAACAAACCCTAAATCAACCCTTAAAACGAAAAGGCCAATATGGCAAGGGTTACTCATCCACACGTTAGATCCTCTTTTTATGACTATGTAATTAAAACTCTGTAATGTTCAACTCCATCTAACTAATCACTTATGTATCAGCCATACCAGTGGTTGATATTGAGAGCAATGTCTTTTGCCGTCCGCCAACAATCAACCAGTTCACCGAGCAGCGGTTGTTGGAACGTATTCTAAACCCGATTCAGATTTGATTGTTGCGTATGAGAAACGAATGTGTCCATTTCGGGTTTAGTAAGCCTTGCACTTGATTTCATCTCATGTGGATGACGGTGAGTGAGTGAGTTTAGTTTTACGCCTCTTTCAGTAACATTCAAGCAATATCACGGCGGGGGATACCAGAAATGGGCTTCAGACATTGTACCCATGTGGGGAATAGAACCTGGGTCTTAGCTTCGACGAGAGAATGCTCTAACCACTAGGCTACCCCACCGCCCCAGTTGACGGAGAACATTGCGGGTGTCAATGCAGACTGACATAAACATATATGTAGCAAACAAGTACACGGGTATTTACTGCGGTTTCAGTTTGTTGTATAGACACGATCCTGACAAATGAATATGGTACTGTTTCCTCATTAAACAATTATCATTCTTATAAATTTAAATATCCTTTATTGTAGGTATATTCAAATGACATTTTGCAATCATTATGGCAGTGCAGCTTTGAAGCAAAAAAGTACACGAATAAAAACAACATTAGTAAAACATTTTGTTATTAAACTGTTTGTTATTAAACTGTTTGTTATTATGATGAACTCATTG